GTTTAGGGTTTAGGGTTTGTCCGAAAGCGCCGAGGCCTATGAGATAAAGGGAGAGTTCCACCGAGGAGAGCGGCTGTACAAGGTCCGGACCCCTGCGTTTCGGGTCTGTGGTAAGGTTTAGGGTTGATGCAAGAAGAGGGTTGAGGGGGCTTAGAGTTCAGTAGTGTCGAGCTAGAGATGTGGGCTTAGGGATAAGGCAGCCAGGGATTTAGATCTGTTCGCAGTTGTTTCAGGCTCCCGGTGCTTTGTTGTATGTAGGCCCAAGCCCCAAACCCTAAGGCCTAAAGCCTAAACCCTAAACCCTAAACCCAACAAGCTGCCCAGTTTTTTTGGGGTCATTATGGAGCAGAGCCCAGGCTCAAGTCCACAGATGTCCGAAAGCTACAACAGTTCCACAGCTTAAGATCGGGGTTTAGGGTTTAGGGCTTAGGGTCTAGGATTTAGGGTTTAGGGGTTTAGGGTTTAGGGTTTAGGGTTTAATATAGGGGCCTGAAGAATTACCTATGCTAGTTTGGGGGTTCCTTATTATCATTATAGTAGAGTAGGCCCCAAAACCCTATTCTAATTCTTAAGGCCCCTACATTAGGCATTGCAGCAGGGTGTTACGGGTTTAGGATGTAGGATTTGGGGGTGTCAACCTTCAAGGCTACAGGGTGTAGGGAACTCCGGTACGGCGCGGCTGCGGGCGTCTGAAATTCGTTGGGTGTCAGGTGGTCCACTTGCCGCTCTACGAGTCCATGCCGCTCGGCTGAGAGATGCAAGCTGGCTTGCACATCGGGTCTTCTGCATAATATAGGGGCCTCAATCTTATCTATATTATTTTGGGGGATTCTTCACTATAAAAGAGTGTATTATACCCCAGAACCCTATTCCAGTTGTTAAGGCCCCTACATTACTTGCTGTTCCTCTGTTTGCTCCTCTTCATCTTCCTTTTGCTTCCGGCCACCATGACGATCCGCTACCACTGCTGTGCTAGGTGCACAGTGCAACACCGTACATGTGGTTTTGTAGATATCGACGAGTCAAGATTGGAAGATTTGTCTTGGAAATACTGGTTTTTGCAAGGCTGCAGGCACTTGCAGGAGCTAGATGTAAAGCACGTCAGCATTCCCCCCGGCCCATCCGCACCCTCCAAACAGTCCGAAGCCCAGGAAGACGCGTGTAGGGATGCGCGCCGCGCTCCAGCTACTTCATTACTGACTCTAGTCCTGCCACTCCTTCCACTCCTGCTCCTTTTGCTGCCGCCGCTGCTCCTGCGAAGACGACAACAGCAAGCAAGAACAACAACTACAGCAGCAGCAACAGTAGCAACAACAGCAGCAGCAGCAGCAGCAACTACCGTGCTGCTGCTGCTGCTGCTGCTACTACGACTGCTGCTACTAGTGCTGCTTCTGCTACAGCAACCACAACAACAACAACTACTCCTCCTACTACCACTGCTACTACTTCTGCTTCTACAGCTAAAGCTGCAGCAGCAGCTTGCAAAGTACAGCTACAACTACAATTACAACTGCAATTACAGCGGCAACCCCAAGTGCAGCTACGGCTACACCTAGACCTACAACTGCCACTGCAAGTGGCACTGCAACAGCAACAACAACTACTATTGCTACTGCTACTGCTACTGCTGCTGCTGCTACTACTCCTACTCCTCCTACTCCTACTCCTACTACTTACTCCTGCTGCTGCTGCTTCCGCTGCAGCAGCTGCTACTGCCACTGCTGCTAACACTGCGTCCCCTGTAAACGCTATCCTCATTCTTCAGGCCCTTAAATAGAGCCTTATCCTCGTTTCTTAATCTAAGGTAGAACTCATGGGCCCCTAGTATGGGCCCTTA